ATGGTGGTGATGGTGGTGATGGTGGCGATGATGATGGCGATCATGATGATGATGGCGAGGATGATAGCGATGATGATGGTAAGGATGATGATGGTGATGATAATGGCGATGATGATGGTGGTGGTGATGGTGATGGCGATGAGAATGGCGATGATGATGATGATGATAATGGCGATGATGATGATGGTGATGGCGATGATGGTGATGATGATAATGATGTTGATGATGATGATAAATTAGGTGATGATGATGATGATGATAATAGTTACATTTTTCATGTTAACTTAGGTCATGATATATATAGATAATACGGATGTAATGATCATATAGCTAGAGCTGATGATGCTACAGTTGATACAGCTTATGATGATAGAGCTCATGATGATTCATGACAATTATGATAATTACCATGATAATTTCGATGAAGGTGATGATTTGATGAAGATGCTTTTAATGATGATGATGATGTAGGTGTGTGTGGATATAATGGGTCTGTTCGTTATGTCACAGTTGTGCAGGTTTTGTTGGTGTGCTGTTATCAAGACCACCCCACCACCCCTTCCGTCGGCCCCTCCAATTCTAAACGCATCCACGCGCCCGTTTAAACATTGCGAGAGAATTGGCAATTGATTGAATGTGTTACGAGTGTTTATATGACATTGCTAATCACCAACAAATACTCATACAGTAAAACCTTGGATTGCGAGTAACTTGATCTGCGAGTGTTTTGCAAGAGGAGCAAATATTTTAAATAAATATTAATTTGATCAACGAGCGAGGTCTTGCAATACGAGTAGTACGTGTATACGCTTTGTCTGCCGAGCGTCACGTGATCACAACTGATATTACGAGTGCTTTTATATACGAGTGCTTTGGATTACAAACACGTTAACTGAAAGTTCAGCTCACTGTCTTTCATTGTAAAAACGTGCAATTACTTGGAGCTGCTGACCGTTGACAAGCAATGATCTCCGTAATTAAAACGTTGATATCTGCCAAAAAAGGTCATTGCCTAAAACGTCGGTCTCACGCCCCACGCCGCGTCGATTATCCGTGTGGGTGGGGGCTGTTAACCATACTTCACCATTTCAGATATCTGGCCCTTCTAGACCATTTCTGGAGTAAGCCTAGGCTGGGCTATATTGCGTGGAAACGTATCAGCTCTCTCTAACCCTTCTCGAACATCAGTGGAGTAAGCATAGGCTGGGCTATATTGCGTACGCCAGATTGTCAGCTCCCTACCCCTTCGAGAACATCGCCGGAATTTGTACGAAGTCACTCCAAGTCACGGCCGTCTGGTCTCCGCCTCGCGAACCGTTAAGCTGTCGGCGAGGAGCGGTGGCGCAGCGGTTAGCGCAGCCGCGCTACGAACACCGGCGATGTGCCGGTTTTGGTGCTTGCGAAACGGCCCGCTCGCAATCTGCACAACTCGATGTAAATATGCGTGTACAATTAATTCCTTCTTGGCGTATTAATGATGATGGTCTGTTCATGGCACCGACGTTTGAGACGTGACTTAATTGGCGTGCGATTTATTAGAATGTATTTTTGTCACGGATATGAGTTCACTCGAATGTATTGTTTTATCAACGATGATATGAAACTAGGAATGTGACATCGGAGCCGAAAAACTATTTAACTGCAAATATATATCAATATTAAAGATAGGCGGCGTTTCGGGCAAATCGCCCTTCTTCTTAGCACGTAGATCTATGAAAGGGACATTGGCTGAAACGTCGTTTAATTCAACATACAGATGTATAGTGTTACTATTTAATTGGGGGCAGTGTGAACTGACGGATGTTTAAAGTCACGCTAATTGTGCTTTGTGCACCACTGCATCAGTATATATATATAACAAACCCCAGTTTCACATTATGTACATATGTGTATGTTTCACGTAAAAATATAGAATAAAGAAAACTAAACAGTCGGAGTTAATTGGCACGATATTAACGCGTAACTGATTACACACAATTTAACATTGCATTGACTATGCGTGCCTCCACACGCGTAAATGGATTGCACAATACTAACCCAAGACAAAGCTCCCCCGTGTAGCCTGCGACGGACTATTGGGGCAAGTGCCGTTAGCGAGTAGCACCTACGAAGTCGGACGCGGCACGCGTGGTTTGCCCAGAACCGGCCGCCTTTGTCTTTCCAGTGGTGACGTCGTAACGCGCAAGTGCGCTAACCGCTGCGCCACCGCTCCTGATGCGTGGAGGACAGACGAATTGGAGGCTCGTGGCTTTTGACTCTCGCCGCAGACTCTCGAAAGCCGTTCTAGACGCATGGGGGCTTGGCGACTTGAACATTTCGCACGAACGGAGCCGAGCCTCTGCCGTGCGACACCAATAGACGCGTCGGTAAATCGGTGAAGGAAAATACAATGGGGGGAAATGATCCCCAAATTAAAGTTTTTTTTTTTAAATTATATCCGATGCATCTTTGGTTCCACGCTCGCAGGCTCAGAGCAGAGGTCGCAAACGGGTTTTGATTCCTTACCCGTACCCGGTCGCACCAGGGTCGCAAATGGGTACCCGTACCCGTACCCGGCCGGGTACGGGTACCCGTTCCCTACCCGTACCCGTACCCTACCCGAAATGAGTGACAAACGGCTACTCAACAAGTGACTCACGGTCTACCCGTACCCGTACCCGGCCGCACCAGGGTCGCAAACGGCTACCCGTACCCGTACCCGGACGGATACGGGTAGCCGGGTATCGGGTAGGGTACGGGTATCGGGTACCCGGTTGCGACCTCTGGCTCAGAGTCGGTGAGTCGGTCGCGAGTTTTGAATGGCGTTCAACACGAGACCCCCCCCCCCCCCCCCCGTTTTAATTAGTGAGCCGAGTAATTGACCCCAACCCCCTATCACGGAGGGGAGGAGACGGAGTGAGTCACTGAAGCCGTTCGAAAGGCCGCGACTGTGCCGAGCGACGTTGACCGTCACACGCAGGGGAACAGGCCACGGCGGTGTTCTGCTGCAACGACGAGCAACATCGGCACGCGACAGATGTGCAAGAAGGTCCTTCTTCGAAAGCTCGTGAATAAGGGCCGTTGTCCGAAACGTCTTCGTCCAAAACGTGCTCTGAATCCGGGCCCCTTTTGTGCGACAGGTGGTGATTTAATTTAGTTATTTTTATTTCATATTTATTTTTTATTTTTATTTTTTATTTTCACCTACGTGACTTTACCGAAAGAACCAAAGAGTATAGGCACATGAAGTAAGCGGATGTATGTGTATATATATGTATAATATACACTTGGAATTACATTGTACCGGGCGCGTGTTTTCGCAATTGAACGAATGTGGATCGGTCCTGGGCCTCTCCAAGCCTCAAACGAGTACCTGGTGCGGTGTGTAAAACATCGCCACTGGGGGAGACAAAGGCGGCCGGGCGTGGTGCTGGCAACCCACCCCCTCATGGTGCCGTGCCGGCCTTCGTAGGTGCTACTCGCTAATAGCACTTGCCCCAACAGTCTATACGGGGGGGGTCTTTGTATATTGCGTATATGTGTACGCTTAAATAATTCATAGGTGCTCGCTAACAGCACTTGCCCTAACAACATGAGCAAGGCTATACGGGGGGGGGGGGGTCTGGGTCTTTGTTACATGTACGTATCTCGAACTTCTTTCGCACCGTACGTAACCACCCGTGCTAATCGGAGGTGCTCGCTGACAGCACTTGCGCCCAACAGCCTCTGCAGGCGAGAAGTTGTCGTAGCTAACACGTGTCAACGTGTTTATAGTGCGTGTCTGTCTGTAATATGTGTACAGGTATGTAATGTAATGTGTGTGTGTGTTAATTGTCAGGGTGTGGGTGGTAGGAGCGGTGGCGCAGTGGTTAGCGCACCACGCTCACGAACTCGAACCCCGCCCCCCCCCCGGTTGCGGGCTAATATCGGCGACGTTGTCGATTATCGATCCGAAGTTATCGAACCCCCTCCTGCCTCCGACGTACTCTCCTCTCCGCTCCTTCAAGCAACCATCCGAGCCCGTACGAGTTGAACTCAAACATCGTGGTGAAGTATGGTCAAACGCCCCCCCCCCCCCCCACACACGAAAACCCGCATCCCCGTGACCGACAGCGGCTCGTTTGTCTGTGTGTGGTGTGTATGTGTGGTGTGTGTTGTGTTGTGTGCGGTGTGTGTTGTGTGTCTGTGTTGTGTGTCTGTGTTGTGTTGTGTGTCTCTGTTGTGTGTGGTGTGTGTCTATGTTGTGTGTGGTGTGTGTATGTTGTGTGCGTGTGGTGTGTGTTGTGCGTGGTGTGGTAAGTGTGGTGTGTGTGTTGTGTGCGTGTGGGGTGTGTTCTGTGTGTGGTGTATGTGATGTGCGTGGTGTGTGTGTGTGTTGTCTGTCTTGTGTGTGGTGTGTGGTGTGTATGCTGTGTGTGTGGTGTTTGTCTGTGTGTGGTGTGTGATGTGTGTGTGTTGTGTGTGTTGTGTGTCTGTCTTGTGTGTGGTGTGTGTGGTGTGTGTGTGTGTATGTTGTTTGTGGTGTGTGTCTGTGTTGTGCGTTGTGTGTGTCTGTGTTGTGCGTGGTGTGTGTCTGTGTGATGTGTGTTGTGTGTGGTGTGTATGGTGTGTGGGTGTGTTGGGGTGTGTAGGGTGTGTGTTGTGTGTGTTGTGTGGTGGTTTGTTGTGTGTTGGTGGTGTGTATGGTGTTTGGTGTGTGTCTGTGTGTGGTGTGATGGTGTGTGTGTTGTCTGGGTGTGTGTATGGTGTGGTTGTGTGTTGTTGTGTGTGTGTTGTGTGGTGTGTGTGGTGTGTGTATGGTGTGTGTGTGTGTGTGTGTGTGTGGGGTTTGTGTGTGTGTGTGTGGTGTTGGTGGTGTGTTGGTCTGGTGTGTGTGTGTGTGGTTTGTGTGGTGTGTGTGTGTGTGTGTGTGTGTGTGTGTGTGGTGTTGGTGTGTGTGTCTGTGTCACGTAGTAATGCAGAGCCACCGTCACGCATTACATCCGGACCCGAGACGTCGACCAGCGCAGACGCGGACTCACCCGAGGCAGGCAACTCGCGGTTTGTGCTACAGAGCCGACGACGACGACGATGATGATGTTGCTGATGTTGTTGCTGATGTTGTTGTTGATGATGATGATGGTGTTCTTGTCGATGTTGCTGTTGTTGCTGTTGTTGTTGTTGATGATGACGACAGCCGTTATAACTCCTCCTTAACTTTCCACCGCACGTCTACCCATGTCCCTTCCTCCCACTCCTCCTCTTCAGCCTCCTCCTCCTGCTGTCGAGTCAACCTCCTCTCCCGGGGAGAAGGGCGAGAGGGAGGGAGGATCTGCAGAAGAGCGAGCGAGCGAGCGAGAGCGATCGAGCGAGAGACACAGAGAGACACAGAGAGGGAGATCAGAACTGGAGTCGAACTCGAACCGCTCGACAACCCCGAAGCGACTCGCTCCGGTCGCACAAATCGCCGCTGCAGCTCCTCTCCGTGGCTGCTGCCTGCGACGCCTGTGCGCGAACAGGGGGCAGGGGGAGAGGATGTGAGCGGCGGAGGGGAGGGGAGGGAGACGTGGGGAGGAGGAGGAGGGGTTAGGAGTGTGGAGAGAGATCATGGGTGGTCACGGGGTTGAGATGGGTGGCGGTGACGGCGCGCTAAATGGATGATGGGTGGCTGGGAGGGTGCGCTGGAGAGGTGAAAGAGGTAGATTTGGGTTGCGGCGGGGGGTTGGTGGAGGGGGGATTGATGGTCGAAGCGGATTTGTTTTTGGTGGATTGGGTGGGTTGGGTGCGTGGGTTGACGGTCGGGTGGATGGCTGGGTAGGTGGGTGGGTAGCTGAGCGGTTGTTTGAGTGGATAGGTGGACGAGTGGTGGGTTGGGTGGATGGGTAGTTGGGTGGTTGGGTGCGTGGCTTGATGGTTTGCTGAACATGTTGCTGGGTGGGTGGATAGATAGCTGTTCGCGTGGTTGAGTGGATAGGTGAACGAGTGGTGGGTTGGTTGGATGGGTAGTTGGGTGGGTGGATGGGTAGTTGGGTGGTTGGGTGCGTGGCTTGATGGTTTGCTGAATATGTTGCTGGGTGGGTGGATAGATAGCTGGTTGCGTGGTTGAGTGAATAGGTGGACGAGTGGTGAGTTTGGTGGATAGGTAGTTGGGTGGGTGGGTCAGTTGATAGATAGCCGATCGCGTGGTTGAGTGGATAGGTGATCGAGTGGTGGGTTGGGTGGATAGGTAGTTGGGTGGGTGGGTGAGTTGATAGATAGCCGATCGCGTGGTTGAGTGGATAGGTGGGTAGGGGTCTGGGTGGGTGAGCGGTTGAGTGACTCGAGTCGCCTTCACTACCGATTTGACCTCGAGTGACATCAACCATCAACTCGCATCGACCGGGGGGGGGACAATACCGCGACCGACCGTGATCCACCTCGGGTCGACTCGTGAGCTGTTTGTTTGTATTTGCTATCAAACCACGCACTTTGTAAGACTATAGTCACACGCAGACGATCATCACAACAACAACAACTAAAATACTGAACGGCAACTTATGACCTGGTCCCGGCCGAGTGGCTCAGCTGTCGGGCGAGTGGCTTGCAACGTAAAAGTTGTGAAGTCAAATTTTGTTTGGGTTGCATGGGGGTTTGACTCGGCCCATCATCATCATCATCCCTCCGGGGTCGATAAAATATCCATCATCCGTACTTTTGTTTTGTTTTTGGTGGGTGTAGTTGAGGGAGCGTACGTGACTCGGCACATCATCATCATCATTACTGTGCGGTCGATAAAGTGAGTATCCAAATTGTGTGTAAGTCAACAGTACTATGGAGATACCCCCCCCCCTCCACCACCCCCTCCCAGCCATAATAATGTGGAATTTCCACCACAAGCTCGACAGGGCTGTTCACGGGAGAATGCTCAACAATCATTGCCTCGAAGCTCATTCAAGCCAGATCATCGTTGAGACGATTTCACGAATAACACCGTCGTTTTCTATGTTTTGTTTACCTTGAACCGCTAACGCAATCGATAATCCCCATCCAGGACGGACAGGGATCGTTCGCCTGTTGTGTGTGCGTGCGTACGCTTAAGTTGCGGGGAGCGGTGGCGCAGCGGTTAGCGCCACCGCGATCCAAATCCGTCGACCCGAGTTCGATTCCCGCTCACGGCCACCAACATCGGCGGTGACGATCGTCTTTGACCGCTGCTGGGCCTCCCCCTAGGTCGACTCAGCCTCAGATAAGCACCAGGTGCGGTGCGTGAAAACATCGCCGGTCAGGGGAGACAAAGGCGGCCGGGCGTGGTGACGTCCACCCACTTCCCCTCGTGTGCCGCGCCGTCCTTCATAGGCGGCGGCGCTGCTGCTGCTACTCACTAACAGCACTTGCCCCAACAGTCTGTTAAGGATATACGGGAGATCTTTGTCTATGCATGTTTACGTTATTGTGGAGCGGTGGGGCAGTGGTTGGCATCGCTCACCGAAGCCACAGCGCCGCCTGAGTATTGATTGACGACCCACGGCCAACATCGAGTGTCAAGAGTCATCGCTGGACCCGCCTGGACCCTCCGCTGGGTGGACTCGGCCTTAAACGAGAGCCTGGGGCGCTGCGCGAAAACGTCGGCGTTGGAGATACAAAGACGGCGAGCCGGTCACGTGCGCCGCGCCGGCTTTCGCAAAGGGTTCGGCCACAGCACTTTTGTCGCAAAAGGCTACGACGGGGATTTGTTTTCACCTTTGTATTATGTACTGGATATATGTTTATTTTAGTAAGTGTGCGTGTGTGTTGCGTGTGTGCGGGGAGCGGTAGTGGAGAGGTTTGCGCGCTGCGCTACGAGCCCGGCGACCCGGGTTCGATTCCCGCTCACGGCCAACACCGGTGACGATTATTTTAACCGGTCCTGGGCCTTCCCTAGGTCGACTCAGCCTCAACATGAGTAGCTGGTGCGGTGTGTAAATATCGCCACCGGGGAGACAAAGGCTGTCGGGCGTGGTGTTGGCCACCCACCCCCCTCGACTGCCGTGCCGGCCTTCGTAGATGCTCGCTAACAGCACTTGCCCCAACAGTCTGTTAAGGCTATACGGGGGATCTTTGTCTTTGTGAGCGGTGGGCGCAGTGGTTAGCGTCCCTTTTCGCGACGAGTTCGATTCCCGCTCGCGGCCACCAACACCAGCGGTGATTATCTGAACCAGTTCTGGGGCCTCCCCTAGGTTGACTCGGCATTAAATAAGTACCTAATTGCGTTTTTTTTGTTTTTAAATGTCAGCATTTGGGGAGATAAAGACGGCCGGGCATTGTGTCTCGGTAAATACAAACCCACCGTCTATGATAGGTGCTCGCGATGAGCACTTGACCCAACAGTCTGTTAGAGGCCACACGGGAGATCTTTGTCTTTGTAGCGTGTGTGTGTGTGTATGAATGCTCGTGTCGGTGCTGTATAGATATCGTATACACATTCGATACGTGCATACGATATGTATATATGTACACGCTTATACAAAAAGACAAAGATCCCCCATATAGCCGTTAACAGACTGTTGGGGCAAGTGCTGTTAGCGAGCAGCACCTATGCAGGCCGGAACTGCACACGAGGGGGTGGGTGGCCAGCACCACAACCCGACCGCCTTTGTCTCCCTCGTGGCGATGTTTACACACCGCGCCAGGTATTCACACACACACACACAGACACGAACACACATACATTCACTCAAGAGTGTGAATGTGCCAATCATCACATGGCAGGACTCTTCCCGTAGACTTGCCTCGAGACTCCCATTGTCACTTTCGTCGTCATTGTGTTCACGCATCATCATCACTCATCACGTCGTTCAATCATCCTGATCATCAGTCATCACCTACTCCCATCATCATCATAATTGATCAAGTACTCCCATTAACATCATCATCGTTATCATCATCACTCATCACGTACTTCCACCATCATCATCATTATCATCACTCATCACGTTCTCCAATCATCATCATAATTTATAAAGTACTCCCATTAACATCATCATCGTTATCATCATCATTCATCACGTACTCTAATCATCATCATCATCACTCATCACGTATTCCCATCATCATCATCATAATTGATCAAGTACTCCCATTAACATCATCATCATCATGATCATCATAAATCATCATGTACTCCAATCATCATCATAACTCATCACGTACTTCCATAATCATTATCATCACTCACCACGTACTATCATCATCATCATCACTCACCACGTACTCCCATCATCATAACTCATCACGTACTATCATCATCACGTACTCCCATCAACATCTCATCATCATCATCCAACACGTACTCCCATCAACATCATCACTCACCACGTACTCCCATCATTATCATCACTCATCACGTACTCCCATCAACATCATCACTCATCACGTACTATCATCATCATCATCACGTTCTCCCATCAACATCTCATCATCATCATCATCACGCTTCTGCTGTATACTAAGCTACTCATTCACGAGCTCAGCGTCTTGGTCGAGTGGCTACGCCCGGGGTCGCCACCCCCTGTGGCTGCCGAGTCTGCACCCACGCGGCTGCCGAGGTGACTCGCTCTGCGTGGCCGGTGTCTGTTCAGAGACCACCACAGTCGCAGTGCGTCGCGATTCCTGAAACATCGACACATATTTCAATGCGCTGTAGAAACTCAGATACGATCAAGAGACTCGGACGAGCCTTTCTTAGATGCGTGCGCAACAACGGTGACCATCATGTCAACAACGGTGACCATCATGTCAACAATTGAATGTCCGGTGACTCCGAGTCTCATTTGAGGCTGAGTCGACCTCGGCCCAGATTCCACTCCCTGCCCTCCCCCTCCTGCCGCCGCTCACGACGAACAGAATTTGTCCACGACTTCCCCACCCACCCCCACCCCCCCCCCTAGGTTGCCTCGGCCTTAAATGAGTACCCTGGTGCAGCGCTTTAACATCATCAGCGCCGGCGGGAGGACACCTCGGGAAGGTGCCGGGAATTTTCACTTTCGCGGCAACGGAATTACAGCCGCGGGTCGCGTCGCGTCTTCCGATCTGCAACGCAGGGAGCGGTGGCGCTGCGGTGAGCGCCGTGAATCACCCCCAGCGGACACCAGCTGAGGTTCCAATTCCCCGGGGCCACGGCTTAACGTGAGTGGCGAGTTGTTATCAGGATGTGTGTGTGTGGTTTTTAAACAAAAAAATCGACTTCGCCTAACGGTTGTAGCTTGCGTGCGTGCGGTGTTGCTATTAACATCAGCGCCGTGGGGAGACAAAGGCGGTCGGGGCGTGGTGATGACCACACTAACCTCACTCATAGGTGTGCGCCGTGGCTGCCTTAATAGGTGCTCGCTGACAGCACCGTTCTTCCCATAACAAGCCTGTCCAAGGCTACCCGGGGGATCTTCGTATTTTGTATGCAGCGTATGTATGTATGTATATTAGTATATGTGTAGAATATATGCGTGTGGATTTGCACGTACGTTCACGTGTCATGTGAAATCAAATGTACGCAGAATTGTA